TGATGTTGGTTATATTGAAATATTTACGTTTATATTTTTCACAGACTTGCTAGTTACGACGAAATCGATGACAAGCCAAGATACTCAACACCAATACACAGACCAGATTTGTACGTATCTCTGTCAGACAGCCGGCAGCTGAACCCTGTATCCGGTTCAGGCCAGATAAGACTGATTATATTAATCTTTGAATACCTCAAGGCTTAGACCAATAATTTGTTTTGGGGGGAGAGGGTTGCAGGAATTTATGTTGCACAATATTTATTTTTTGTAACAAGTTTTGCACACAATTTATTTTGTGTTACTMGATATTTCTTKACTGAAAGGAGAGGTTGCTCGTTGCTTGATATTTTATAACCTTTAATCATAGTATTGTTTTGCATTCTCAGGGACGAACATCGAGGGCCAATACATCACCATTACCCATCTAGGTGAGTACAGCATTGGGCGAGGGGGAATGGAGAAGAGGAAAAGGATTTTGTTTCACGCAGTTTGTCTTTTCTTTCTGTTAAATTATGAYTTTTATTTTTGAATTTTTACGCAGTCGATCTGAAGAACCTTTTCMAACGGTAAGTTTTCTTTTTCTCATTTTATTCGATTTTTTTTTTGCGTTTCGATAATGTCGATGATGACGATGGTGATGATACTTTATGATGGTGATGAGGCTGCTGTATGATACATGGTGATGGCGATGAGGATGATGGTGATGATACACGATGACAATAGTGGAGATGCTTTGTGATGGTGATGAGGTTGTTGGTTATCATACATGATGAAGAAGCTGTTGAAGGTGTTTAACTCTTGCTGATACAACAAATAGATGATGATGATGAATTCAAAGTGAGCTTGTTTATATGTAGGAAACTACTCTACAGCTTCGTAGCCCAACCGAAGTTGGACATGTCCTAGATCCAAGTCAGCAAGACGAACTAGAAGGTCTAATATCTAACCTAGAGAATGACAACAGGTAATACTAGCCGTGGCGTGACGTGACGTGACGCAAAAAAAACTGTTTTATTCTCTTGAGTCGTATAGACCCCTTGCAGCACTTTGGAATGCAGCTCAATCTGGAGGACAAAATRATAGGTTCCAATTCTCAGGAGATTGGAATTCTTTTGTTTTGTCCCCCAGATCGAGCTGCTTTGACGTCACATGCAAGGGGTGTCATACTCTTGAGAGTAAGATTTTTTTGAGCGTTGTCTATATCCATATCTTCTCATGCGCAATAGTGTCCCATAGTGCATTTCAACTGCATTTCAACAACTCCTGGACGACTAATATCAGTTTTTGGCTACCTGAATGTGCACCTCAGCGTTACTAAACCAAAGTATTCTCATCCAAACTATTTTTACGTTAACATTCACAGAGCTCTTCGCGACGAGATCGACCGCATTCACCAACTGCAGCTCCAGAACCTCAGTCTTAGCACGTTGGATAACTCAGACGAAGCAGATCTGCTGCGTCAGCGGAAAGAGCGGCTCTTGGCTCGCGAAGAAGTGCTCGAGTCACACAATCAACAGCTAGAAATCCAACTCAATCGACTGAGATCTTTATTACATCAGGTATTAATGGAGAATGAGCTCAGAAGAACTGAGCAATGGTGTTAAATTTGATAGGCTGTTTGTCTGAACGATTTGTCACGCAATGATGTCCTATGTCACGGCKTGTTACGGTCTGTCACGCGAGCATACTCGATTCTTGACGAACGCGTTACCRTGGACCGTTACCGTGTACGATCACAAAGTAGATTTCATACGAAAACAACTCTGTATTGCGTGACGGTGACGATAAGAGTCAAATCACTTTGTCTCACTTTTTCTTTCATTCGCATTTTTGCTTGCATTATAGAAATTATTTATGCATTAACGAAATTTAAAAATTATGACAACAATGATAAAATCCATCTAGTATTAGTAGACAGTAGTAATGAAGTTATATCAGTATATTAAAAAGCTAAAACATTARGACTAAGCATTATAAGCTAAAACAAAGAGATAATGAATTAGTTCTTAGTCCCCTCACCCCACCTCTTGTTCATCCAGGTAGCATTCCCGTTCCCAGATCATCTTCGGGTAGGTGTCGYTCCTCCCTGTCAGACGGGGACGAACGACAGCCAAGGAGGATCAGGGAACAAGTATGATCCAGGTAGTTGAAAGGGTAAGATTAAGAGTGGGGTGACTAAGAACCCTAAATTATTAGATTATTTAATWAATAAATATCATTTTAATGAATGAAAATTTAATGAAAAAACTTCGAAGAATAAACTGTATAAAATTTCATATAAATGTATAACATCACAAGAATGTTTTAAAATTTTAAATCATTTTTCGTCATTGTATATTATTAATATGCATTTTTACTGCAAATAATCTTCAAATAATTCTGCAATAAACTGTATGAAAAAGGCCTGCTGAATAAAATTTGAAAAAACTGAATTAAAAGTTGGGATCTTGATAGTAATTTCCCGGGAATTGATCTAATTAAAGCAAGATGTTTTTTGTTCAAGGGTCTTGTTGATCACAAATACCTTCTAAAGCGACTGAATCTCTTCYAAAGTGACATCCAGCCTTAAATCGACCTAAACATGGACTAAAGGGTYCTGTTTCAAAGTATAAAATCATGAAAGCCTTCTAAAGTGACCACCTCCCCTAAGTCGACCTAGGGGTGGACTAAAGGGTCCTCCTTAGAAGTTAATACTATGAACCCCTTCTAAAGTGACCACCTGCCTTAAATCGACCTAGGGGTGGACTAAACGGTCCTCCTTAGAAGTTAATACTATGAGCCCCTTCTAAAGTGACCACCTGCCTGAAATCGACCTAAAGATAAAATAAAGGAACKTGTTGAAGTATAAAATTTATATTTAAAATTTTTGCTAAAAATGTTACATTACATGACGAAGACAGTAGTATGTTCCGCACCATTCGTTCCCGGTTTTTGCGCCTGAAATGCGCCTGAACTTATTTGCATTGCGCCTGAACCATTCTCGGTTCTGATTCGTCTAATCGGACAGAAGGAAAYGACCTTAAAGCTCATTTGCATTGCGCCTGAGCTGAACGCGGTTTCGATTGGCCCAAACGAAAATCAGGAAGTGACATCACAATCTATTTCCGGAGTACATTTACATAGATTAAAAAAAGTCCCTAGATAAAAGGCGGGAACAGTCCGATCCAAATATCGTAACTCAGAGACAATTATACAAACCTTTTGTACAAATGTTTGTGTAGTTCTTTTGTTTCAATGAAAATTCCTTATTCATGTTAAAGCCGAAAAAGCTTGTTATACCACTCCAGCTTCTTCGATTTATAGGCCTCAAAAGAAGGAAAGAGAAGGTTTAACGATTACGAAAGYGTATACRCTTATTTSAATAAAGTTAGTCAMCAGAAAAGCTACAAAGCTGAGACCGACAAGGATTATGGATAGATACATTTTACATGTTTTAACAGCTTGATAACTGTTGATGGACTTGAGATCTTCTACCAGTTACAAGTTTACCTCATCTGAGCATTCTCAACTGCTGCAGTTTGTGTCATAAGCTTTACTTGTTGAATATAAAATATTTCTCATGATTCTCAGCGATCACAGCTTTCTAGGTTTTTGGTGACTAACTTTATTGAAATATATATACATTTTTTGAGCAAAACATGAAAACGAAAAAATATGAGACTAATTAAAACGCAGTGGAGCGAAAGACTGGTTATCAAGCAGAAATGTCAATCTTTGTTTGCTAAGCTCTGTATAAATTATTTTCATTTGACAGAACCTATAAATATTCTTTAGAAGGTATTTTAGGTAATTTAAAAGTAGAATCTAGACTYTCTTGTTCTTTTGTCTCTCTAATAAAGTAACGACACACACACCGTAAGAAAGGTTCTTTCTCTTTTATTGTGTAGTGTGCTAAACCTATAAGTGTATGGAGTGCATATTGGAAGCTAATGATATACAGAAACTAGAGTTTTGACAAATTGTCCTGCCTTCCAGCTCAGATCTCTTGATTTTGCACACAGTACCGTTTCCTAAGAATAAGGATTTTCGCTCTTAAAAGCGAAGCCACTTGCCAGAGACTCCACCTTAACCATTTAGCGCRTTCCTCTGCTTCCATATGATGTATTTGGTCGAGGTGGTTTGCCAGTCGTACGAGATTAGTGCTTCCACATCCGAATACAGGACAGTCTCTTCGCTTGCGACCCATTATCTTAGCTGTTCACTCGTATAGTGCCTTGCAAGAAATGATGATTTTCTGGATATCTTCTACTATTGATGTGGCCCGAAGAGGCCCGAATTGGCTCTGCGTGGGCTTTATAGGCCCAACAGAAAAAAATAGTATACGTGCCATTTTATTAATAAATAATTAGCAGTTCTTTTGCGACAGGAGGATTTATTTACGTGAGCCTGGAAACGTTCTGAACACATTCTTAGTCAGTTTTGAATGAAGAATATACCAATCAATCTCCAAACTTAAACTAGGTGCAGTCGTATAAYGTTTGAGTCTGTTKAMAAATSCATAGACTATAGGACTATAGGTGTAGTAAATGTGTTGTTTGTATTACTACCATGTGRAATAAATTTTCTTTGTCGCAGAGAGTAGAAAGACTTTTTTTTAAAAACCACCTTTACTTCGTGCTACAAAGTCGCGCAACAAAAAAAAGGATTGGTTTAGTATACGAGCAACATCTTCTCTACAACTTGCACGATCATCGACCCGGCCGGTGGTGCTATTACCGTAGCTGAAAGAGTGAAAGCGTATTACAACATTTCAAGCCCGCATTATTCGTTTCTCGATTGTTCTAGGTAATCAAATGTGCAGAAAATGAGACAAATTTGATTTCTAGGAACCAGGATGAAGCGTTTCTATTTAGATACGATTCCCTTTTTTCTCTATTGTTGTTGTTGTTGTTCTTGTAGTCCTTCATTCTACTTCTCGCCTATTTTCAGGTACTTKAAAGCAACAGGCAAATCTTTCCAATCTTTCTTAGTTATGGCCTTCTTGATATCATCGACATAGGTGTTCATCAGGTGCTTTGGTTTCAGCATTACTTTAAACTGCTCGGTAAATCGGCCATCTGTTTTGTTCAGCGGCAGCGGCCGAATTGAACGCACTATACAGATGACGTGAACATAGCTGTCGAATTTATTTTCCGTTTTTCTAGTGGCGTTTAGTGTGGTGGTTATCTCGATAGCCTTAGTTAAGTCATTCCTGACTATAATCATCATACTGGGTAAAGATATTTGCTTACCCATCTCTACGGATTTGATTTCATGCTCCATGAGGAAGTGTGGGTATTGCTGGTCGTACTTGCTCCAGTAATTTCTCGCATAATCATCGTTGTCTGCAAGTTTGAAATTACCCTCTCTATTTACTTCTTCAACCAACTTTGCCTTGTTTCTTGAACTGCTTCTGACTCCTATGCGCGGCCAAATTACTTTAGGGATATTTGTGGCCGTTGACATGCACATACGTGCAATTGCGGGAGCTGTACGAGTAAATTCAAGCAACCCACCAAACTCGTCTCCGTTTGCTTCCATGTTACTTTCGATGTTTTCAATGCTCACAGTCTTCATATATGTAACTTGAAATCGATCCTTCAATTCGTTCAGAGATTCAAGGACTATATTGAACGAAGGATCCGTTTGTATAAAGATGGTCTCTTGAGCCATTATATAACGTTAACCTTACTCAATCTTCGAGCGAATCTAAACGCTAGTCGAATGGCATCTAGACAACATCTGTCTCATATTTGTGCTATTCTAGTAAATATATATGAGGTCACCATTGTAACACCGCCACGTGTCAACTTCTATGGCGTTTTATTTTGGCGTTTTATTTTGGCGTTTTATAATGGCGTTTTATTTTGGCGTTTTATTATGGCGTTTTATTATGGCGCTTTATTATGGCGTTTTATTTTGTACCCTAAGGGACTGGTCATAAAGTACAGGGGGGTTGGGGGGGAATCAGAGGGTGGGCCACATAATTTTGAACTCCTTGAAAGGGGTGGGCAGTCAATGAAGTGAAATTGAATTTAGAATACTGTATTACAGTCAAAGGACATGTACAAATGCTGAAAAGTAATCCAATCAMATTTCCAAGTTTGGATTAAAATTGGATTTCATTCTCGGGAGATTGGAACGACCAAAAATCTTTTTATGAATTGAAAATTCAGTCTAGCTGGGCACGCTTCATGTCCTTTGACTGTAATACGGTACTTAACTGTGCTTAATTATGACTAGTGACGTTTCAGTTTCCCAGAAAAGGCGCCCAAATTCGTCAACAACAAAAAAATCCCTAGTTCAGCCATCTTCCTCGGTTCGTGTCTAATTTTTTCCGTAATGCAACAAATTTGGTGTTTCATTTCATTGACTGCCCACCCCTTTCAAGGAGTTCAAAATTATGTGGCCCACCCCCTGATTCCCCCCCAACTTCCTGTACTTTATGACCAGTCCCTTAGGGTACAAAATAAAACGCCAAAATAAAACGCCATTATAAAACGCCAAAATAAAACGCCATAGAAGTTGACACGTGGCGGTGTTACAATGGTGACCTCTTATAGTTAGTAGAATAGCATAAATATGAGACAGATGTTGTCTGGATGCCATTCGACTAGCGTTTAGATTCGCTCGAAGATTGAGTAAGGTTGACGTTATACAATGGCTCAAGAGACCATCTTTGTACAAACGGATCCTTCGTTCAATATAGTCCTTGAATCTCTGAACGAATTGAGGGATCGATTTCAAGTTACATATATGAAGACTGTGAGCATTAAAAACATAGAAAGTAACATGGAAGCAAACGGAAATGAGTTTGGTGGGTTGTCTGGATTTACTCGTACAGCTCCCGCAATTGCACGTATGTGCATAGAAAAAACACTAGAATGAAAACTGAATTCTAGGTTTAGATTTAAATTCTTGTCTCTATGCATCTACCCATAATCCTTGTCGGTCTCAGCTTTGTAGCTTTTCTGGTGCCTAACTTTATTGAAATAAGTGTATACACTTTCGTAATCGTTAAACCTTCTCTTTCCTTCTTTTGAGGCCTATAAATCGAAGAAGCTGGAGTGGTATAACAAGCTTTTTCGGCTTTAACATGAATAAGGAATTTTCATTGAAACAAAAGAACTACACAAACATTTGTACAAAAGGTTTGTATAATTGTCTCYGAGTCACGATATTTGGATCGGACTGTTCCCGCCTTTTATCTAGGACTTTTTTTAATCTATGTAAATGTACTCCGGAAATAGATTGTGATGTCACTTCCTGATTTTCGTTTGGGCCAATCGAAACCGCGTTCAGCTCAGGCGCAATGCAAATGAGCTTTAAGGTCATTTCCTTCTGTCCGATTAGACGAATCAGAACCGAGAATGGTTCAGGCGCAATGCAAATAAGTTCAGGCGCATTTCAGGCGCAAAAACCGGGAACGAATGGTGMGGAATWTACTACTGGAGACTAAAAAACGCAGGCTTGTTTTTGGTGTTAAGGCCGATTTACACGGTATGATTTTTCCTCACAACTGTCATGCGCAATATGCTTACCKCCAAGTTTTATTTGCCATTTTCAGTCGTAGGCAAGTTGTACGGTCGATTTACGCGAAGTAGTTCACGAAGTACGTAAAATCGTACCGTGTTAATCGACCTTAAGAATACAGAGTTCAGTTTTACCCAATGTATCGAAAACTAAAACCCTAATTKGGGTACTGTATAACAAAACGGCTCGCAATGTCGAAAAATCCTGCCMGGTCCTTCAAACTGATGTGGTTAAAGGAAAAGATATCGGTTCTTGTTCTTTTAATACTCCATTTTACAGTTTCGTTCAGTGAACACGAATAATAGTTTCGTGTCAAGGTAAGAGTTTCCGCGCATAGCAAAACTATAGTTTATTGCAGCCTCGGCTTGGAATTACTATTCGTGGTCACTGAACGGTAATGTAAAATGGAGTACTCAAAGTCAAGCAAGAAGCGATCAAAGAGATCGCGAGCTCTTGGGGTTTATACTCATGCGCAAGTTTTGAAATGCAAATGGTTCTGCGTTGCTAATGACAACATGACTATAGCTGTATAGTCATGAAAAATAAAAAATTCTTAAAATGAGATTCTAACGGTTACATTAACATAAGTACCCAAATTGACGGTTCGAAATCAAAATAAAAGAAAGTAAAAGGATAACCATAGCATAAATTGCTTTAAAAGTAAGATTTTCCCAATGTTTTAATTTATAGTTTCATTTTTTTTTTCACCTGTGAATTGTTTTGTAAGATCGCACTGAGGTTTCATACATAACCATCTTTACTTATATTGCATTCAATTCATGTAAATGAACCAGATATATCTAGTGTTCTTGTGGCGGGTATTGGAATAACAATATCGACTTGAAGCGACTAAACACGACGGTAAATACATTTTCAGTTAAAGCTTCATTAACCTTAAATATGCCACAACGAAATAAGTGCTTTTGTAACAAAAATGTTTTAAGGAAAAGATGTCGATCGGTAAATACGTAAAAAGTTGTTTTGAATTGATGTACTTTATTATAACCGACAGATCATGATAAATAGATGTTAGAGCTTCATGCATTTTTAGAACTTAGAACTTAAAATGTGTTCCAACCAAAAAAGTGCTTTTCTAATAAGCATTTTTGAAGAAAACCCTACGATTTCAATCGTAAAAATGAAACAACTTTTGGAATTTATGTACAGGCTAATGTAAAAATAGTCGTACTGATGGAGAAACGTCTGAATTTATGTACTTTATGACAGGCTTATCGGTTATGCAAAAATGGTCGTACTGATGGAGAAACTAAGAAACGTCTTTTGTATTTTACCGACGCGTATTTTACCGATTTCTATGAAACAGAGTGTGTTTTAACGACAAAGATACTTCATAACCGGCAGCCAGTCTGTTATTTTTTTTTCGTCGAACTAAATATCAAAAATACACTGGTGCAAATAGAATTTGTTTCTGTTTAATTTTTCCCTCAAGATAAGATCATTAAACCAACAATTAACAGCTTCGAGGTTGTGGTTTTGTTCAAAGCAAACCAGAATTTTTGCAGTCGTTTTTTGAAGTGAGTAAATTTTCTGCGATGTTTTGGTTTCAGGGCGGAAGTGGTGTTGCCGCGCAAAAGCCAAGATCTTCACAACGCACAGACAGCGTTCTTTCRGCAACTATTCCTTACCAACCAACGCCACTACCAAGAGCAGTATCCCCTCAAACTCGAGGCTTCAGTACCGAGCAGAACAGAGAACACGCACCAGGACTTTATAATCCTACSCAAATACCAAGGGTTTCATCCTYACAAGCACGTTCACAACCGACCATGACGTATCCCCCCGGAACTGATAGAAATGGTACTGAAATCAGGGGGGTGTCTGCGAACCAAACCAGCCCAAATCAGGAAGACTACTCTTCGCGTTTCCAGCCAACTGGGTCTCTTCCCGGGTTGCGGACAGCTGATAATGAATTCAGGGGGGTGTCACCCCAAATAGGACAACAATACCTACCAGCGGTTGGTGCATCTCCGTACTTWTCGACYCCYGCAGTAAATGGWCAGGTGACTTCRAACATGAGTTTTAACGCWCCTTCTTCGTCTGTGCCACCATTACAGCGGTTTTCGCCGTCTCATCCTGGATTTGGAAGCCCCACGAGGATCGATTCGTCACGCCAGGAGGCTGAACTACAGAACATCGTGGATTGCATGACGAGTTCTTTTCCTCTCGATGCGGAATCAGGTTAGTTGTCGTTAGTTTGAAGTGTGAAAATATGTCTTAGCCTTAAGTCCCAGTGATGAACCTTGAGGAAATCCCATTTTGGTATTCTATTCAGTTCCCGTTCCCAGTTACCTACCTCCTGGTGGAATTCCCATCTTGTTTCTATTTCCCATTCCCAGTGACCTTATTTCCACTCCCAGTAATAAAGCTTGGARAATTCTGTTTGGTATCCTAATTTCCAGTTTGTTTCCAGTTACCTAGGGACCAGTCACTATTTAAGTCGGAGGGAGAGGGGGGTGGAGGAGAGAATGTCTTTGATGCCAAAAATTTTCCAGACCCCAGCCTAATAGCCTAATAGCATTCATGTTAATTTTCAGGCGACCCCTTCAATTGTTTACGAAATCCTCCCAATCTTCTTTTCCTTTTTGACCTT